CTTGTTTCCTTGTTACGTGGCCGTACCATTGTAGTTTGCGTTTTTTCACAGTCACCAGTAGGTAATCGTACTCCTCAATTGTCTGGCGAACCCTTTCTTTCACTGTATCATTGGAGATATGGTCCCTATAGCAGATGCCAAAAATGCTTCTGGAGCATCTCATCTCCATCGCCTTTATTTTCCATTCAAGATCGGCTGTTAATGTCCAGGATTTGCAGGCATACAGGAACATGGAGAGGACTAATGAGCGCATCAGCCTGATTTTGGTGCAGTGGGCTATATTTTTATCATTCCATATTTTCTTGAGCCTCTTTAGTGCTGTTGTAGTCTGCGCAATCCTGGACATGAGTTCGGGCTTGGAGCCTTCTTCTGACACTATTGCTCCTAGGTATTTGAAGCGGCCGACAGTCTCTAGTCTTTCCTCCCCAATTTTAATTTCAGTGGTGATGCCTGTGGTGTTCTTTGTCATCAGTTTTGTCTTTTCGGCACTGATAGCATGCGGTAGGACGACGAGGTCTTATCGAGACGTTTTACAAGGTTGGCTACCTCTTCTTCGATCCCAGCCAGTCCGTCTATGTCGTCCGCAAAGCGTAGGTGTGTGATTGTTCTGCCATCAATGCTGACTGTCCCTTCATGCGCTTCCAGAGCATCTGACATAATTCTCTCTAGGAAGATGTTGAAAAGGGTGGGGGAGAGCAGGCAGCCTTGTCGTACTCCAACCGATGTTGTTGTTGAGGAAGACTGCACTGGTGGCCTTATCATAGAGGTTGCATATCATTCTGGTTAGGTTTGTGTTGATGTTGTAGTGCCTCATGGTGGCCCATAAAGCAGCATGCCGAACCCTGTCGAATGCTTTCTTGAAGTCCGCAAAGAGGTGGTATAGGTTTGGTTGGTGTTGAGCATAATTCTCACATAGTATTCGGAGGTTTAGAATCTGCTCAGTAGTGCCCCGTCCTTGTCTGAAGCCCGCCTGTTCTTCAGCAATGATTCTGTCGGCATATGGTTTTAATCGGTTCAATATGCCTTTCAACATGACCTTGCTTGGGTGGCTTATTAGGCTAATGGTGCGATAGTTTTGGCAGAGCTGTAGGTTACCTTTTTGGGGGAGGGTGACGATGAGCGTTTGGGTCCATGGTTTGGGTCATTCTCCTGTAAGCCAGATTTTGTTACAAATATTGAATAGGGCACTTATCAATGCTTCTCCTCCTTGTTTCACCAACTCGGCATGGATATTATCCACTTCTACGGCCTTTCCTGTTTGGAGTGCATGGATTGCTGCTTCTACTTCTGCACGGAGAATAGGGTAGTTATCATTGTCTGTTGCTGGAGGGACATTAAGTATCTCTGGGTCTATCTTTATACTTTCATCATACAGCTCTGAACAGTATTAAGTCCATCGTTTTATGATATCATTTTTCTCTGTCAAACATTTACCATTTTCATCCTGTATGGTAGTACTACGCCCTTGTTTTGCAGTGGTTAGTTCTTTCACCAACTGGTAAGCTTTTCTTCTATTGTTTTTCTTCAAGCAGTTTTCAATGTCGAAGCATTTCTCTTCAATCCAGTTCTTCTTTGCCCTTTTCATACGTTTTTTGATGGCTTGGTTAAATGTCCTATATTTAATGGCCTCCTCTGTATCTACCATTTTGTTTTCTTTAACTGCCTCCGTCTATCACCCAGATCAAGTATGTCAGCTGTCACCCATGGGTTTCGGGTTGGTCGATGTTTACCAAGGATGTCGTGAGCTGTGTCATTCACAGCTGTGTTAAAGTTATGTTGAAGGCAGCATGTGCTGAAACGTTTACTTGTGTATTATGTAAAATTATTATTAACGCTTAACATATATTGTTATATTGGCACACATTGTTCGTGTCTAATTAATATATTTTAAAGCTTTATCGCAGTCCAACACTTTTTGTAAGTAGGGAATTCTAGAAAGCATTTTTGGAATCTGTACTAGAAAAGCAATTTCAAATATATGCAATATAAGAGCAAGGTACGTTAAACTTGAGTTCATAGACAGGATAAAAGATTTGGACGTTTTGACTGAGAGCCTTCACCAGAAAACGAAACTACGACCATTTTTCCACTCACACACATGCAAAGTATTTACTAAACTTAAACAACCTCTAAACAACCTCTAAACAACCTCTAAACAACCTCTAAACAACCTCTAAACAACCTCTAAACAACCTCTAAACAACCTCTAAACAACCTCTAAACAACCTCTAAACAACCTCTAAACAACCTCTAAACTAAACAACCTCTAAACAACCTCTAAACAACCTCTAAACAACCTCTAAACAACCTCTAAAAACAAAGTTTTTCGTAGGAATCCTTTATAAAATGTAATGTCGAGCCATTGGGGGTTGGGCCAAAAAAGGTCATCAAGTATCGCACTTTATAATAATCCCAATTATTAATCCCCCCCCCCCACCAGCCACGGCTCGCAACCCCTGAATTTTATCAATATTCTAATAGTCCACCCTCTCTCTTACCGCAGATTGATTTCACCAGCTATTTCTGTAAGGCAATAGAAAATGTAACGCAACAAACGCATTTGCGATGTTTAAAAATTAAATAATCTCATTTAGCGCATGGTAGGGAATTTTTATTTCGTGAAATCAGTGTCATCATATTTTCTTCATCTCCCACCCCCCCCCCCAATTGAAAAAAAGGAAAAACAGATTTTTTGGGGGGTGGGGGGGAGAGGGGTTGACGTAAGAATTAAGGCTGAAAATTATAAAGAATGTGTTGCCATCGGCAACGAGTCCCACCCCCCCCCCCAATTGAAAAAAAGGAAAAACAGATTTTTTGGGGGGTGGGGGTGAGAGGGGTTGACGTAAGAATTAAGGCTGAAAATTATAAAGAATGTGTTGCCATCGGCAACGAGGCTATGTGCCAATTTTCAGCTCAATAGGTTGACGGGAACTGGGTCAATTAGCCTTCCGAAGATTGTGCCAGCCACGAACAAAAGCGAAGTTAATATAAAGGATTTTAAAAAAAATTTTAATCCATTTTTTTTTCAATCGTAACATATAAAAGACTTTTTTTTTAAAACGACACACGATTGTAACAGGCCAAGTCAACCCTAATTTTTCACACGACCCTAATAGTCATTCTCACGACACGATGGCGTAGTGATTCTATGAGAACAATGTGAATAACGGGAAAAAGAGCGAGAACTAGTTTTGAGAGCGGATGGAGAACAGACGTTAAATAGAACAAGAAGACCCGGGTGGATGAGACTCGTTAACCTTGGTTGGAAACTCATCTAAGAGAAGGAAACTCTGAATTCAAACCCGGAGTTGGAGTCCCGTAAGGCGCATACAATGTCAATTCCTGCAACCAAACCCATCCCTGGTCGTCTTGACGTAGAGTCTTGCCACTGGATATGGTGGGCTCGGACGAGAGAGTGAGGTTGACGCTGCGCAACTCTTCCTCACTTTAAACAAAAGTCACCCGCGCAAGTCATCAGTCACCAGACGACTCGATGGTCATCGTCGATCCTCGACGGACGAACAACACAGAACAAGAAGAGTTCGATTTTTTATTTAAAACTAAAATGTGGCAGACATATTGAATTATTTCTCGTATGGATTATTAAATTATTATCGTATGGAGTATTGAACGTGGGAAGGGAAATCCTCATAAGATTTATTAATTGACGTATTTATTATATTATGTAATAAAGTGTTGTGAATTATATAATTGGACGTTATCACATTCTTGGTGGGAGAGAGAAACAACTAAGTGCGAGGAGCCGACACTGGAATGGATCAATGAGTCAATCAGCAGCGGCAGGCCGTCCATTACACCAGCGTTTCCCAAACTTTTAAGTTTCAAGGACCGGTGGACAAGTTTCGAAACTGCACCATTTCCATTTAAACATCGATATTCATGCTCTCTTGACCGGTAACATATGGCTTGCGGACCGGTGCCGGTCCACGGACCACCGTTTGGGGAACGCTGCATTATAGTATTAGTTAACACTGAAAACACCAAGGATTGTCATATCGGTGTTATAACATATGTTACTGTTTTATATTTTTAATTGTAGCTAGTCACATATATTTTTTTTTTTAAATTTGATTAAAAAAACATAACTAATGAATTAACAAATGCAAGGTACGATTTGTATCCAACTCTTTATTAAGTATGACTGAAATTCCAAATAGAAAGAAATTTCAGTAGATTAATTATTCATAAATTAAAGTTCAAGGTGAAATAGACAGCAACAGTCGTCAACCAAACACTTTTTGAAACAGACGAGTCTTAAGAGAGTCGTATAATAATTATTTGATATTTAATTCTTGGCCATGTTATGATTCCCCCTTTTCGCAACCATTCCAACATTATACGTGAAGAGAAGGGCAAGTAGGCCAGAAGTCTTGCTCTAGACGTTAGTGAAATAGGTAGAAAATACTTGCCTTAGAATAATCACATGTAAGTGCATAGTAATGACTTAACATAGCTTCGTTAAACTTCGTGCGGAGACAGAAGGAAGAAATATACAAATAGTAACAACGTATATTGTTGACCCATCAGAAGGTCAGTGCTTGATTTTTTTTTTTTTAAATAGCAAAAAGTAAGACTTGCTGGTCAATTAAATGCGCCGGACCGCATTAATGTAGGTCATCTGGATACCACAAATATGTCAGGCATCTAGTTAAAATTCTTAAAAAAACATACAATGTTTAGTTTAAAAAATCATTTAACCATAGTTTCTCAGACTACACATTTGGGTCATTCAGGCTCCAATAGTACACTTTCATACAGGCACCACTAGCACACCGCCATCTGGTCGCCACTAGTGCACTGCCATCTGGTCGCCACTAGTACACTGCCATCTGGTCGCCACTAGTACACCGTTCATTGCATGCACCACTAGTAATTCTGTCCTTAATGCGCCACTATGACGACTGCACTTCCCGTTATTTGAAGTCAGACTTCAGAAACTTTCATAAACATGAGAAAAACTTGTTCCAGACTTGTCTGTTGCACTGTATATCGGGAAAACCCGAATTTACCCTGAGCTTCTTGCAAAATTTCAAAGATATCAGCAAGCGATCTTCCTTTCTGGGGAACCTGCATGTGCACGTAGGTGTCCATCTGGTTGAATACCTGTTGGATGAAGAATACTTGGCCTGACATTCGATTTCTAATCATTATTTTTTTAATAAGCACATCATTCCGATATTATAAGACATAGGTCGGTTTTTAGATATTGTGTTTAACTTATACTATTATTTAACCCCTTAGCTAAGTCAGTTCAATAAAGACAACATATAACTTAGTCAGTTTATGCAGACAACATATAATTAAGTCAGTTTAATACATAAAACATAACTAAGTCAGTTCAATACAGACAACTTATAACAGATTCATCTCATTGATAGTATTGACAAGACAGAAGAAATTCGGTTAACTGGCTTTGTATTGGGTACAGACTTGAGAACCAAGGAAATCGAATGCTATATCGAATCTCCACTCCTTATAGTTCCATGATACCCAACTCAGTAAAATGTCATTGACTTCAACTTAATGAAAAAAATTATTGCGTCAACAGTGCACTTTTGTCTTCTTCTTTATGACCATTCAAATAACTCGGCGCCTTGTCTCTTACTTGTATTTCTCATGTCACGGTGACCTTTCAATGACATTTTTTTAGAAGCTTAAATTTATTTTTAAAAAATAAATAATAATAAAGCTGAAAAAATCCCCCAAAAACTTGTGGGTAACCTGACCTCTGACCCTGCAAACGTCTTTTTAATGAACTCGATGGTTTCGTCCCATTTAATCGTCTTCCCCTCCTCGTCGTGTTTGGCGTACAAGATGACGGTGAAGCCTTGGCCGTACTTGTTCTTCAGATACTGGGGGCTGCCCAGACACATGATTTTCCCCTGCACCATGATGGCTATACGCGTGCAAAGGGCGTCGCACTCCTCCATGCTGAAACGTTGGGGGGGGCGGGGGGTGGGGGCATCGTTAATACGGCACACACAGCGTTAAAGCGACACACCAGACAATGTGGACAAAATCAGATGCTACAACGATTGAACACACACGAGATGAAGAGAGATGGTATAACATCATAACATAACACTATCCAATATTTTTTCCTGGCATGCCATAGTCACAGGTTTTTAAAGAACTTTCTAGCTTTTTAAATTATTATTATCATTTTTTTTTTTTTAATTTGTTCGAAATATGTTCAATCCCAGATGAACGTTAAAAAATCAGGCTGAAATATTGAGCCACTGTTTATCAGACTGTTTGAGTGAAAGCCGTGCGAGACCAGAGGGGATAGAATTGAGTTACTGTTGTGACATAACGATTACTAAAAATGTATATTGAACATGGTTAAGTCCCCACGTGAGACAAGTCTGTTCGGAGGCGACTGCGAACTAGAAAAAAAAAACATATTCTGATCCCACCTGAAGACAATGGGTGGAAGGGGTGAGGAGTGCCCCATTTGATGTCGAGGCCAGCAAGAAGTACGCCACAATTCTTCACGAATATTTTTGGACAATCACATTGTGAGGGTGGTAGGTAGGTATGACCTTGTTCTGCCCTTATTTTGGTGTAAACGATATTCAAACGTTTCATGACGCATGAGTGTACTTATACGAATAACTGCTGAAATAAGGTCACTCGCGGGATAAGATCTTTAGCGGAAGAAGTCCATCAATCCATTGCCCCCCCCCCCATCTAAAAAGTCTTCATCTTGTTGGCAGAGGCGACCTAGCCAAAAAAGTTGGGTGAAATGATATAGTCTTTGCGAGATTTGTGGTAGCAAGTTGAATAAAATAAGTAGCCATGGCTGTCAGTTGGTTTATTGTGGTAGCAAGTTGAATAAAATAAGTAGCCATGGCTGTCAGTTGGTTTATTGTGGTAGCAAGTTGAATAAAATAAGTAGCCATGGCTGTCGGTTTATTATGGCATTTTTCATTTTGTAAAAAAATATAGATCCATCTTTATTTATACAATCAGCAAGGACAAAGACCTTTGAGAGATCCATACACCGTGAACACGCCCGAAGGAAACCTTATTATTCTAGCTTAAAAGCCATTCTTTTTTTTTCCTTTAAAAGTCCGATTGTTAGGTTATTAAAAAAAAAATAAAAACTGCAATTTCTGTTACTTATCAATAAACAACTGAAGTAAGGAGGTGTTATGGACCAGCAATGAACTATGTTCAATAAGGAGGATCGATTGTTCGGCCAACAATTACCGATGTTTAATAAGGAGGATCGAGTGTTTCACCAATAATTACCTGTGTGAAGTGAGGACGAGCGTTCGACCAGACTTTCGGATCAAGTGTAGGACATCCCAAACTGTCCGTCTGGAGATTGGGTCCATTCCGGCTGTCGGTTCATCCAGCATGATGAAGGCCGGGTCTCCAATAACCGAAATACCAATCGAAAGTTTTCTTTTTGTTCCACCACTGTCAAGGGGGGAGGGGGGAATAACGATTACAAGTCCACACAGTCTTCCTTCTTAGGGGGGGGGGGATCAGCAATCAAGTTAAGATGAGTTTGTTGTTTTAAATTTAATTGTTTCCAATTCCAGAGGTGAAAGTGCTTGTGGCCATTTCTGGAGATGAAAGTGCTTGTTTCCATTTCCGAAGATGGAAGTGCTTGTTTCAATTTCCGGAGATGAAAGTGCTTGTTTCCATTTCCGGGGATGAAAGTGCCATATTTTAAATACTAGGGCAAGGAAAACTGATTTCATGTGTTTTGGGTCAGTGTGAAGTAGATCATGTGTGTAGCTTGATTGTCTAGTAGACCCTGAGTGGTGTATGAGTGTGAGGTATGTCATATATGTAGCATGGGTCTGTAGTTGGCATGCTGTAGTTGCGTTAAGTGGCGTAGGAAGGGGAGGGGTGAGGAGAGGGAGGTCCACCCCCCCCCATTCTGGTTTTCACACTATGGCGTGATGCAGGGGTCTCCAAACTACGGCCCGCGGGTAAAAAAAGTTTGCAGACCCCTGGCGTGATGCAATGTGACAAATAATTGAGAAAATTAATTCTAGCCCCCATCTTACTAAAACTTTGATAAAGTTGAGGGAACTGCCCATGGTTTACAGTATCTGTATGTGACGTCTCTAACCATAAAGTGATTTTATTTAACTTTTAGTAAATAAACAAATTATAACAAAGGATAGTAACAAGAAAAAGCATGAAAGAATTAAGACAGAACATAATAGCGATACATTATATACCACCAAGACACTAAATACACTCGAGACAAGTCAAGACAGTACATGCTGTTGAGACACACCACCATTTGAAGACAACATTGTACCGTAGAAGATCGCACTGCTCAAGAAATTGTATTAGTTTCGTTGCACACCTGCCGGTAAGTGTCGTTGCTAACTTGTAGGTAAGTGTATTTGCTCACTTGTAAGTAAGTGCATTTGCACACCTGTCGGTAAGTGTCGTTGCTAACTTGTAGGTAAGTGTATTTGCTCACCTGTAGGTAAGTGTATTTGCTCACCTGTAGGTAAGTGTATTTGCTCACCTGTAGGTAAGTGTATTTGCTAACCTGTAGGTAAGTGTATTTGCTCACCTGTAGGTAAGTGTATTTGCTCACTTGTAGGTAAGTGTATTTGCACACCTGTCGGTAGTGTCGTTGCTAACTTGTAGGTAAGTGTATTTGCTCACCTGTAGGTAAGTGTGTTTGCTCACCTGTAGGTAAGTGTATTTGCACACCTGTCAGTAAGTGTCGTTGCTAACTTGTAGGTAAGTGTATTTGCTCACCTGTAGGTAAATGTATTTGCTCACCTGTAGGTAAGTGTATTTGCACACCTGTCGGTAAGTGTCGTTGCTAACCTGTAGGTAAGTGTCGTTGCTGACCTGTTGTAAGTGTCACTGCTCACCTGTAGGTATGTGTCTTTTGTCCCTCGTACGGATGAAGATTGACAAACGTGACGACACGAGCTGTCACCACCGGAAGTTCTTTTTCTGGCACGCCCCTGAGTCGCCCGTACAAGAAGAGTGTCTCCTGACCGGTCAGAAGGTCGTGGAGTGCGTCGTACTGAGGACAGTAGCCCATCCTGGACTGAATCTACGGATAGACGGACAAGTAATAGACGAGCATCTAGGACAGCGGTTCTCAGCCAGTGGGTCGCGACCCCTTTGGGGGTCGAACGACCCTTACACAGGTTTGCCTAAGACCATCGGAAAACACACATTTATGAAGTAGCAAAAAAAAAATTATGGTTGGGGGTCACAGCAACATGAGCAACTGCATGAAAGGGTCACGGCATTAGGAAGGTTGAGAAACACTGAGCTAGAAGATCATGAAGTGCATTATATTAATGGCAGCAATCATTTTTTGGAGTAATTAAATTTCCCATAGTTTTGGTTATTATCGAAAATAACATGACGTTATTTTTAAACAAGTTTTAAACAACACCCGTGGCCTTTCAAACCAACACACTTTGGCATACTGTGACAAGCAGTATGGTGTACTACAAAGAAAACGTAGTGTAACACCTCATCACCAGGCACTTACGGATTTCAAATACCACTTGATGTTCTTACTCTCCACATATATCTCTCCACAGGATATGAGTGTATCGCCAGTCAGCATTTTGAAGATCGTCGACTTGCCGGCGCCGTTCTGGCCGAGCATTCCGAAGCATTCTTTCGGCGGGATGCCCAGCGAGGCGGCCTTCACAGCTGTTAGTGTCATGCAAGGGCCGTAGACGTACACTTTGGTCAGGTTGGCCAAGACAATAGCATCTGAAACCACATAGATTTTAGTGAAGTTTGCCAAGACAATGGCGTCTGAAAGCACATAGATGTTAGCGAGGTTTGCCAAGACAATTGCTTCAAAAAGAACATAGACATTAGGGAGGTTTGCCAAGACAAATGTGTCTGAAAGCACATATATTATTAGACAAGACAAAAGGTTTGCCAAAAACTATATTCTGCCCCCCCCCCCCGCGTTTTATATGGAGGCATGGGCACTTCCTTTGCAGATTAAAATACATTTTATTTTCATATAGTAAACACTTAGTTTTCATACATTTATANCCTGTATCCACATGTATCCACCTGTATCCACCTGTATCCACCTGTATCTACCTGTATCCACGGGTAAGGTTTGTCTCATGTGGACTAAGATTGACAAATGTGACGACACGAGCTGTCACCACCGGAAGTTCTTTTTCTGGCACGCCCCTGAGTCGCCCGTACAAGAAGAGTGTCTCCTGACCGGTCAGAAGGTCGTGGAGTGCGTCGTACTGAGGACAGTAGCCCATTCTGGACTGAATCTACCGATGGAAACAAAGAGAGATCCCAATTCTACTGAGTCTTTAAAAATATAATAAAGTGTTAACGTGCCGGAAAAAAATTCACTGTGCGGGGGTGGGGGGGGGTATTAATTTTGTCAAAGCTATCCGGTATAAATTACAGACATTTTTTGCTCTATATTTTGAGGGCCCACTAACAACTTTTTGGTCATTCTGGCTCCTTGTTTGAATTCAGAGTTAGATGAGTGGCCGTCCAAGGCTAGCGAGTCACATCCATCCCGGGGTGCCTGGGGATGTTGTTTTCTTGTTTGTGTTGCTTGTCCTTTGCTTTGGTTGGGGATTGAACTTCCGAACCCCCTGCTGTTTGGACTGGGTCCGTTTAGACCGCAAATGACTTTAAGAGAGAACATAATACAATGATAACATTCACACAGTCTCCCCAATCACAAAAAAAATTGCTTACGGATTTCAAGTACCACTTGATGTTCTTGCTCTCCACGTAGATGTCTCCGCCTGTGATGACGACGTCACCGGTGAGCATCTTGAACGTGGTCGTCTTCCCGGCCCCATTCTGACCGAGCAGTCCAAAGCATTCGCTGGGCGCAATGCCCAGGCACGTCGACCTCACCGCAGTGAGTTTTTCACAGAAACCGCGCAGATACTGTTTGGTGAGGTTCAGCATGATGATAGAATCTGGAATTTATAAAACTTAAAATAAAAAGATACAAAATAAAGGTTTAAAAAGTTAGTCATTTCTGGGACAGTTAGTTGGTTTATTGTAGTTCGTTTGAAGGTATTATTCAATAGAGTTTTTATTCTCAGATAAGATACATTTTTTATGCGCATCATTTCGTGCCCCAAGAGACAATTAGTGTTTCTTTAAGACGTTTGTTTCAGGGTTTGGTGGGGGTGGGGGTGGGGGGAGGGGAGAATTTCAGGCGTTAGGGAGGGCATTGCATCTTATCACGACACAATAAAAGATAATGGCAGCCAGGGCCAGCTCGAACGCTCCCCACCTGCCCAATATAAAACTAAATTCATTCAAGTCATGGCGCCCCTGGGGGTGGGCTTGCCAGAGTCCAAATGTATGAACAAAAATCAAAGGGAATTTTTTGGGGGTCTTATTTGAAGGAAATCGTTATTATTATTAACTTACTTCTAATATCTTAATAGTTGTAGCAAAATGGTGCCGATACTGTCAATATGTTTTATGAGGGTTGTGTAAATCGTCGATTTTTCCCAAACAAAACAAAAGTTGGGGGGGGGGGGGTTCTGGGGTTGATTCAGTGATGCCATCCCCCCCCCCTTGTCAAAAAAAACCAAACCTTTAAGGGCCAGGAGCCGTTACTACATTTTGTCCTTATATAAGCTCCATAAGTGAAACTAGGCTCGTACAACAATATAGAGATCTACAAGACTTGATGGATGGACGCCAAGCTTGGTAGGCATATCCTCTACATTCCATATAAAAATAGCGTTGAATTCTACACCAACACTAGTTACACACCTTTCACAACTCTTAAAAAATATCGGTGCAATTCAAACTTATTATATTTCAACCTTTTGGGGAAAATGGAAGGGTTTTTTTTGGGGGGGGGGCATGGTGGTAGTTTTTATTTAAAATTACATGCTATATCGAGCATTTCGCAGTCGATTTAGACGGGAAAACATCTAAAAATATACATTTTTTTATTATCCAACCTTACGCACTCACTGATTTAAAATCTAAAAAGATGAATTCCTTTTTGACGGCGAGGCCCCACCCACAGGGAAAAGTTCATAAGAAAAATCCCCTCCAATTTTAATGGGCTACATTTGAAAACTTATCTTGAATATGTAATTGAATTATTTTTATAGAGCCCCTATCTTAGAGACATCTAAATTGGGCCCTTTTTGAAATGGGTTCCTGTCGCGGATAATAGTTTATTTGATTCATAAAGGACCATAGAATTGGCTTCGTTGGATACCTTTTTAAATAAGAAATGTTGAAACAGTTCGATCTGTATTTAAATGATGTGTTTGTTTTTTTGTTGTTTATTTTTTTTACTTGGCCCAGCTTGAATAATAAACAATCTTGATTTTTTTTTAAAGGAATGATTAAAGAAAATATTTTAAACATTGATTGGTGCTTTAGCGAAGTGTTTTTGACATGGCCCATAATTAACGTGTACCTGATAACTTGTTAGAATGTTTTTTCTTTCGAATACCACCCCGAGAAACGCTGGGGTATTTTGGCTAGTGCTTAATAAGGATAACATCATACTGTTGCTAAAATCTCAGACCTTACCTGTGTCGAACAAGACTCGAAGTGGAGTTCTTCTGATTCTCTCCCTTTCTTGAACCACGTCACTCTCTTCCACTGTTGACCTCGCGGCCCTCTTGTCTTCCAAAATTAAACTCAGACACAAGCAAGGCCCACACTTCAAGTACCTTATGCAAATTATGGTTCACGGTAAGGCCACACTACACAGCAATTGAAAGTAATCCTAAGGGGGCAGGCTCATTGCACTGCGAGATGAAGCTTTCCTTCACATAATACGACACACATGAATGTGTAAAAAAACCCAGTATAATTAAGTTTTAATTAAATACATCGTAATGAGCACAACAGTGCACAAAAAGAAGTGGATTTAGGTGGAAAGTTAGACCTAGGACTAGGATACTCTGAACATTGTTGTCCGAACAGTTATTTAACAACAATTTTTTTATTTTATTTCCTGTAAAAACCCTTTCTCGCAATCATAGATCTTACCCCATCAATCTCAAACAATACAGTAGTGATCTCACAACGTACCGAATCAAAGTCAGATCATGCAACATAGATGTTACACCATACTGCATCAACAACAGACCATACAACAAAAACCTAACCATGCCGATACCAGAGCCAACTTAGATCGTCAAAAAATCAGCCTCAGACACACCCGCATCAACCTCAGACACACCCGCATGTACCTGAGACATACCCGCATCTACCTCAGACATACCCGCATCAACCTCAGATATACCCGCATCTACCTCAGACATACCCGCATCTACCTCAGACATACCAGAATCAACCTCAGACATACCCGCATCTACATCAGACATACCTGCATCAACCTCAGACATACCCGCATCTACATCAGACATACCCGCATTCCCGCATCAACCTCATACATACCCGCATCTACCTCAGACATACCCGCATCTACCTCAGACATACCAGCATCTTCCTCAGACATCCCCGCATCTACCTCAGACACACCTGCATCAACCTCAGACATACCCGCATCTACATCAGACATACCCGCATCAACCTCATACATACCCGCATCAACCTCAGACACACCCGCATGTACCTGAGACATACCCACATCTACCTAAGACATACCCGCATCAACCTCAGATATACCCGCATCTACCTCAGACATACCAGAATCAACCTCAGACATACCCGCATCTACATCAGACATACCCGCATCAACCTCAGACATACCCGCATCTACATCAGACATAACCGCATCTACCTCAGACATACCCGCATCTACATCAGACATACCCGCATCAACCTCAGACATAACCGCATCTACATCAGAATACCCGCATCAACCTCAGACATACCCGCATCTACATCAGACATACCCGCATCTACCTCAGACATACCCGCATCAACCTCATACATACCCGCATCAACCTCAGAAATACCCGTATCTACATCAGACATACCCGCATCTACCTCAGACATACCCGCATCAACCTCAGACATAACCGCATGAACCTCAGACATACCCGCATCTACCTCAGACATACCCGCCTCAACTTCAGACTTTCCCCCACACCGACCTCAAACATTACCGCAGCCACCTTAGGTCTTACCACATCAACCTCAGAACACCGAATTCTATGCAGTATAATATCAACCAATAGGATGCCATTTGAGCCAGATGGAAGAGCAGGTTGTGGTCGAGACGGAAATCGTCCCCCTCATGAGGGCCGATGTATCCACCTAGATGTAAAATAGGGAACTGATGATAGTAATCTCAAACGTTTAATGAAAATTTAACGAATTCGAAGCAGCCAGCTCTGTCACTGAAGACAGCTCTTTTGCGGGAAACAGATCTGTCACGGAAGAGAGATCTTTCACGGAATTTTTTTTCACGAAAGTTAGGAGCGCATGAATTATCCCTCATTTTGAAGCTGAAAACGGACCGTGGGGTTTGGGGGGGGGGGAGGGGGGGCTGATTGCAATCAAGTTGAGGGTGAGTTCTGAGCTCCTGGTCGAGCACAAATAACAAAATAAATACGTAGTTAAGCGAATGAAAGTTAGGAGCGCATGAATTATCCCTCATTTTGAAGCTGAAAACGGACCGTGGGGTTTGGGGGGGGGGGAGGGGGTGCTGATTGCAATCAAGTTGAGGGTGAGTTCTGAGCTCCTGGTCGAGCACAAATAACAAAATAAATACGTAGTTAAGCGAAGGTAAATTTAACTTAAAATCTTCTTTTAAAATGCGTAAATCTAATGGCAGGGCACGTCCACAGACAACGAGGTAATCGCACGGTCAGGTCTCCACGGAAGCTATTTGACTAACTCGGCACGAGCTGTGAGACTGTCGACGACCGTTTTCACAGGATACTTTTGTGTGTGTGTGCGTGTGTAGGGGTGTGTGTGTGTGTGGGTGGGTGTGTGTATCAGGCTTGAACGGTATGCTTGTGGCCAAAAAGAAGCCACACGAAGACACTATGACAGCCTCACTGGAGGCGGCGATCTGTATCGACCTGGACACACTGAAACATTTTGTACATGAAACGTTTTGTATAATGTATCGCTTCTATTTTAAAACAAATGCTTACCTCTCTTCAAGCCGACGTTCGCCATGAAGGCTAACTGTTGGATGCTCGAGTAGAGAGCATAGTTTGGGAAAACTACAGAAAACGCAGCATTGGCGTATGCGACCCCTTTATTGTGTTTGCTGGTTTGAGTTAAAATTGGCGCCAAAATGAACCCTGTTTTGGGGGGGGGGGGGAAATTGATATTTCGTTAAAAAATATTGCAAATTTAAAATAAATAAACAAAAAGCTATTATTTTGGGTTGTAAGTAAGACAACAGGGCATCAATGGCCAGAAATAACTCAGAAGTGCTCAGAGTGTTACTTAAATATACAAACATTTACTAAAGTAACCCAAACTTATTATTTACATACCGAAGTAGCCCGAATATACGTAACCCCGAATATGAATGTACTATTACTGAAGTAACCCAGAATATGTATGTATGTATTATTACTAAATTAACCCAGAATATGTATTTACAATTACTGAAGTAGCCTGAATATGTTTGGATAAATACCGAAGTAACCTGAATATGCATGTCTAATTTCCAAAGTAACCCCGAATAGGTATATCTAATTAACAAAGTAACCCCAGAATACGCGTGTCTACTTACCGAAGATAAAATTTGAAAGTATGACGGCTGTAACGCCGTTGGCTGGACGCTTGAAGAGCAGCTGTGTGCAGTAAACAAAAGGCAGCATGGCGCCGGCGTACAGGAGAAACACGGCGAGCAGCGCGACCCAGCGGCCCTCGGCCAGGTAGACGAAAGGTCGGTCAAGCAACGCAAGCATTATCGTCATCTCAATGAAGGCGACGATGGTGGCGTCGAAGAAGAAGTTCCCCAACCAGTACGCGAAAGGGTTGACCCCGCTCAACGTTTGAAGATGCTTGGCTCCTATCTAACATGGGGAGGGGGGTGGGGGGAAACAACAACTATATTAAGCTTTGTCATTTCTCAGACCGGAAAACGTCATAGCGTTACTATTTTTAGAAGTTCGGCGGACAAATATTGCTTAAAACATGGCCGCCTATAATGTGTTTCAGCATATCGTTCGGACGATCCTTGTATCTAGAGTTACTGTTACATATGCCGTTCGCGCAATGAAGTCCTATGTCAGAAAATAGAAGTACAAAAAAAATGTGTAAAATATTTCGTAAAATAGAGTTGTTAACACGTTTCAGAGACACTTCGCTAACATGGTAATACTGAACAGTGTTGCCATTTTGTCCGCGCTGAGTACTCGGATGATGAGTAATGATGACATCAGTTCTATTAATAGATTTCCGCCATTAAATGACAAGCCCTATTGGGGGAGCACGAGACGGTGAGAGGACAAGTAAAAAAAAATAAATTTTTGCCTACGCAGTGACGTGGAAAGAGGTAGTGCTCCCATGGGGCGGGCCAAGATTTTTGCCACCCCCATTCCACGAGAAAAAAATAAATATGCTGCAGTTGACCGAAAATCCCCGCCCATTGAATACAAAGAAAAACGTGCCGGGCCTAAATGAAAAGGGTGAATACAAAAATAGTTTAAAGAATTTCTGTCATGGACGAGTTGAAACAACTGAGCAGTCAGCAGCCATTTAAAATTTCTTAAAATGCGTCGCAGCAGGAGTGTAGATGAGCACTCTATGTAGTCATCATTTGTGCAGCAGGAGTGTAGATGAGCACTCTATGTCGTCATCATTTGTGCAGCAGGAGTGTAGATGAGCACTCTATGATGTCATCGGATTCACGTTAAATGTAAACGAAACTTAAATGTCTAATTGAAAAAAAAAAAAAAAAATTGAAAATATTTTTTTGCACAGACTTTCATTTTGCCAGGGGTCCGCCACTGCATAAGGGGGTCTTAAGTCTAACGTCTTTAAAGGGATAAACTAACGTCTTCATCTGATACGACTGTTAAGATTTTTTCTCTCCTTTGTTGCAGTTTACACCAACAGCAACAAAAATAATAATACAAAGTATATATAACGATTAACAACAGCACCCCCTCCAAAAAAACAAACAAACAACAACAACAACAACAAAACTATAACAGCAACAGCAACAGCAGCACTTACTGCTCTCTCTGTAATAAGGCGGTGGATGAACACAGCAGGCAGTATCGCAAAAATCAAGTTGAGGAAGGCGCTGCTCGTGTCGCTGACTGGTGTTTCTTTGTCGTCTTTAGAGACGTTGTACTTGATCCCGGTCTGGACGGAGTAATCATAGCCCAACTCATACCTGACATAGGCGTTGATCAGCATTTGAACCTAGAGGGCATCAAGTAGAGTCACTTCAGACATGCTGAAAATGAACACAAGTCTATAGTCTATAAAGTACAGGAGTCAAAAAACAATTTTTTTGTTTGGTTTTGAAAGGGAACACCTTGTCGGTCGGAGATCGAAGTCGTAGCCACACACGATTTTTATCATCAGAGGCGCGAGATTAATGTTTTAAAGTTTGTGTTAATATGCCAATAGAAAATGTTTAAAAACTAGTGTCATAAATAATGCAGCTTTTCAGGAAGTAATGTGTAAAAATGGTATGGGTAGAAAAAAATCCTGGTGGGGAAAAAAAGAAGCAAGAAAATTAGGAACGTTTCGGCAAGATGCCTTTTTCATCGAAGAGGTACGAAGAGTAATAAAAATATAAAAAATACATACTTGCTGAAATGTTTTATACTGTATCATGCCACCGTACATAACTTAAATCATTGAACTCAAGTTACTGACCGTGATGCCTGCTGCGTGCACAACGGTGGGTCGGTAGTAGCCAATCACTTCATCGGGCAAGAATTCGGCTCCGATGTAAACCTTGCTGTCGTAGTCATAGGCCTTGTCGCTTTTGGCGTACTCCAACATGGCGAAGCCGACAGTGTCATTCTACGATACACAAGGGACGTTGGGTCATCTGGTGCATACAGCGCATGAGAAACAGGGATTCATACATTACATAGACACAACGCGTGCGTCGGCTCATTTGATACACACGGCGCAAGCGAACATGTGGTTTATCGAGTACGTTCAATACACACAACAATGCATAAGAAAAAAAAAACAACATTGTTATTTTAATCTATTGTAAATTTATATTAGAATCTGGAAGCCATCCATATTTAATTCTACACGAACAGATCCCGTTATTCTTTTTTATTGTTTATTTGTAGATGTTCCGAGTTGGTGTATAATATGTATGTAAGTGAATACATTTAAAAAAAAAAAATTATAGTGAGTTTAGGTCGGTCAGGTCTGACTAGTGACTCGGTTTAAAAATGTGGGGGAGGGGAGAGGGGTGATGTGACAAATGGATTCCTTGTGTTTGATTTTTGGGGATGCAGGCGATGGATGTTTCAGAACGCCATTTTAAGGGAACGTTAGTGAATCCTGAGGAAAATGTATCGACGTTTTTGTTTGAGAGTATAGGTTGTTTTTATTTGAGAGTATAGGTTGTTTTTGTTTGAGAGTATAGGTTGTTTTTGTTTAAGAGTATAGGTTGCTTTTGTTTGAGAGTATAGGTTGTTTTTGTTTGAGAGTATATGTTGTTTTTATTTGAGAGTATAGGTTGTTTTTGTTTGAGAGTATAGCTTGTTTTAGTTTGAGAGTATAGGTTGTTTTTGTTTGAGAGTATAGGTTGTTTTTGTTTGAGAGTATAGCTTGTTTTAGTTTGAGAGTATAGGTTGTTTTTGTTTGAGAGTATAGGTTGTTTTTGTTTGAGAGTATAGCTTGTTTTAGTTTGAGAGTATAGGTTGTTTTTGTTTGAGAGTATAGGTTGTTTTTGTTTGAGAGTATAGCTTGTTTTAGTTTGAGAGTATAGGTTGTTTTTGTTTGAGAGTATAGGTTGTTTTTGTTTGAGAGTAGCGGTTGTTGTAGGATGATGCGTATTTCCTGTGAAACGTGGTATGTTTATTTCCTGTACATTTGGACGACCGATGACATACATGTTCTGCGGGGCTAGGAATTAAAGAAACACCAAGAAACATTTTTTGAAACGCCCGTATGTTTATTTCTCCACACTTCTGCCCCGTAGACGCTAAGCAGAACGGTATTCTGACTTTTACTTAATTTTTCCCGTGGCCGTCAGCCTAGACAGCCTGCTCGCCCCCCCCCCCCTTTCAGTGTTCATGAGGTAGGCCGTCTAGCAAGGGACCCCAGGCCTAGGCAGGCTGCTCTCCTCACCCCCTCCCCCACCCTCCCCCCCCCAAGTGTTCGGGAGGTAGGTAGATATGCATTTGAAATCCTGATAAAGCAAACAAATAATAACTTTTTGAAAGAAATCTTTTAATACTTCCACAGAGGAAAGAAATTCTTAATTTATTAAACTATTGTATTTTTGTTTTAATAATGAAATTCTTCATGTCCTCTTATTATCTTTTACGAAAAAAAAATGTTAAAGGATCAACAAAAAGCAACACTATGTATGCTATTTGTAATAAATATAGTAATATTGAATGTTGATGCAGTATCTAAACATGAAAAAAAAAAGACACAGCGCGTTCACGTGGGAGACAACAACAAGAAATAGAATATCGCCTCACAGTGGTGTTGGGCAAGAGATGAATGTGGTGGGGACGCCTAAACTGACTTGTGTACGACACGACCAGGTCCCCGGGCACCTCCGGATCTTTCCTCACCAACGTGATCGTCTCCGGGAAGCCGACGAGTGAGAACCGGGAAGGGTTGTTTTCCTCAGAACCGGAACCGGTTTTATCGAAGTGAGTGCCGCACAGCACGCACAGACACGGCAGGAAAAGCAGCATGGCGGACGTGACGCACGTCCGTTTGAAAAGTATCCACTTCTTGATGAGTATAGCAGAAAGCTGCTGGGAAAATAAAGCCATGGAACCGTTTTTGGTGAAATTGACCATCTCATTGAACTCCATGTCATCGCCATCGACTTCTTTCTCTGCTTCTTTAGACTCTGTCATCGCCTTACCTTCCTCATCTAAAAGCATGCAGAGAAAAAACGAAAAAAAAAAAAAAAACCTGATAGATTTCAATGCACCGTATTGATCGGCGTGTAACACGCACTTTTGCTCCCTGAAAATAGGGGAGCAAATGATGTGTGCGTGTTATACGCCGATATAATGCTAAGGACCCACAGTACATACCGCATAGCGGCGCGAGGGGTGCGTGCTATACGCCTGGGCGTATTATACGCCGATGTATACGGTTATTCGAAAGCTGTGTGTTTGTTTGTGTGTGTTGTGGAACAGCAAATACGTGACCATATATCTGCCAGAGATAATCATTTTCCCGGTGAGCTAAAGTAGACTTTTCAGGCACCTGCAGATGTTCGTAACAAACAACCCCCCCCCCCCCAAACCACGTACACAGTGGTACGTAGACTTTACGGGATAATTACAATATGCCTAACCATTGGAGAACTTTCCGGACAGCAGCGGAGTGAACCGAGGGGGCTGTGCTCTAGCGACCAAGTTCTTTGCCGTGTTCTTCTCTCTCATTCTTTTATCCCTGGGTAAAGAGCTAGGTCGCTACAGCCATGACTTAGCTGGATAAAGATCTAAGTCACTGCAGCCGTGACTTAGCTGGGTAAAGATCTAAGTCACTGCAGCCATGACTTAGCTGGATAAAGATCCAAGTCACTGCAGCAATGACTTAGCTGGACAAAGATCTAAGTCACTGCAGCCGTGACTTAGCTGGATAAAGATCTAAGTCACTGCAGCCATGACTTAGCTGGATAAAGATCCAAGTCACTGCAGCAATGACTTAGCTGGATAAAGATCTAAGTCACTGCAGCCATGACTTAGCTGGATAAAGATCTAAGTCCCTGCAGCCGTGACTTTGTAAGTATTCGTCGTTAAAAACAAACTTTTCCTGCCACCAAATTTCTTAAAAAAACAAATTGTCGGTAACCGCCGTGTCAACAATTGGCGATCATTAGCCTGTAGAGTGT